AATTAAAAATCGATACAGGGCTTTAGAATATCGATACAGTATCGGGAAATGAAATATCGCGATATTTCAGTGCATCGATATTTTCTTACACCCCTAGTTCTTGTTAGCAGTTTTTTTTTGTTTAGTGCACAAAATCAGAAATTTGTTCATTATCAAATTTTTCATTTGAGAAAAGAAAAAAAATTTATATTTTTTAATAAAACAAACTGCCTGAATGTACACTGACCCTGATAGCAGAATTTGTTGGTTTAGTGTCTGAAAAACGAGTGATTATATGTGATTGGATCATAAGTCTGTCCCATGAAATGATCTCAAACCATTCCAGATGTGTGCAAACTGAGTGTGTAACCATATGTCTGGTCCAAGAGTTGCCATCACTTCTTTAATTATGGCTGTGTTAACACTGCAGGTTCTAACGCTCAGTTCGGATTTCTGATTATTTTGCGGTCGTTCATATTTTAATGTGACCTCCATCAGACTCCATGTGAACAGCCAGCGGCCCTGAAGTGAAGAAGGCTCACCTCATTAAACAGCTCCAATAAATGCACATAATAGGGTTGATCTCTGCAGTGTCTTCGCAGCAGCCTGTAGATGGAGCCTTCCACCAGAAGTGAATCATTGATGGCATCCAGGCCTATACCATCCTTTAAAAATAAATAAACAAATAAATAAATACTTCACATGATGTACCCTGACACTAAAATCCACACAAAAGATCCAGCTTGTATAAATTCTCACCTTCTTGTACCAGCAGGGCTGTCCTCTGCGAGTCACAGATGCATCCATGATGTCATCTGTCATGAGGAAAAAAGCCTGAAGCTGTGAAAAACAGAGAGACGGTGGCAAAACTGAAACCAGAAATAGCAACAGGCCTGTTTACTGTTACAACAGGCAGAGTGTGTGCTCGCTGTGGTTACATTTTATTTACAAACTGAGCTTCAGAAAGGAGCTGCCTTCATTTAAAACCTTTTATTTTGAAGAATTAAATCTTCTACAGGCTAAAGAACATGTGAAATGAATACAGATTGTTGAGATACGATCAGACTGAAAGTCATGCAAGCATACATTTCAATTTAACCTTGTTTTTTATATATCTTTTATCAACAAACATCCTTATAATTACTGAAATCTAACCTTTCAGAGGTCTTTCTTCTATGTTTATACTAAAGCATGGAATGACATTCCTCAAAACATAAAGTCCATTTCAAAACTACAGCCCTTTAAGAAGAATC